CTGCCGACGTGATTTTGCCTGGTCAGACCCGCCGTCCGAAGTGTAGGATATGTTTTCTTTTTTTTTTAAAAGAAAAAAACGCATGGGTGTGCGGATGGTCTGCCAGCCACGTTTGAAGTTCGCCTCACAGCGGGCATCCGACACAAGCAAGCTGCGATTTTACCAATGCCAATGTCCTACCTGCAGCTGAAATTTTCCATTGGCTGGCAATCTGCCCACCGCGTCATCTCGGAATACCCATCTGCCCACGAGCATAAGGGATCATCGTCAATCAAGTGCGGATCTGTTGCCACCAGCGTTTGCACCGTCACGCCCTGAAGTTTCCTGCCTTGCCAGATGGAGCTGTTGGTAGCGTCGCACATGAAAGAAACCACTGCCACGTCCAGCGGCGGACCGCCCACGTAAGGCGACTCCGCCCACCCCTGCAACATCGTGGAGTGAAAGTTCCTACACGCCGCGAGCATCGCAGCCCACGTGTCGACCTCGCACCGAGACACTGCGGGGCCCGATGTGTCGACGCGCTGCGAAACTCCATACGTCCACCCAGCTACATTGGCAGCGTTACGCAAGATACCGACTGCGAACCGACTGCGCGCGAGGAGCCGTTTGCCACCCTTGTGCTCCAACACGCTCAGTCTGTCTGGTTTCTCTAATTCTTCCACTGTTGCTTCAAGCTATGCGTTCCTTCTGCCGCCTGACTTGCTGTGCTCAGTTGTTCAGTTTCTGTGCCCGCTTAGCCTTCCGATCCCGCGGGTTGGTCCTAGCTCGCAGCCTGGCGGGCCTGCGCGGCCGGGGCAGCCCAGCGGGTTGGGCTGAGACAACTGCAGTGGGCGGCTCATCATCCGATATCTCCATCGCCACTGCTTCGTCATGGGCCCGCTGATCTAAGAAACCTCGCACATGGTTAACTATCGACGCCCACTCCTCTTCTGAAATCATATACCCCATCTGGCGCACGAGCAAGACGAAGACGACGTGGACATCATAGAAAGCAGCGGTTTCCACGGCGCCCCCCCTGGCCATCCTGGCCCAGGCTGCCTGATGCACCCTGTCGGCAGGCGCGCATTGGCCAACTAGGCGGCGGAGGGAGTCCCCCTCGATCACCACGCAACCTGACCGAAGCCGACATGCATGCTCCAAGTACAATTGGGATCTGCGCTGGGTCGAACTTGGATGAAACACCATTGAGCCAAAATGGCTACAGTGCTGTTGTTGTTGGTGTTGGTGCTGCTGTTGTTGTTACTGTTGGTGGTGCCCGCATTGTTGTGCTGCTGTTGTTACCGTGCTGGTGTTGGCGTGTTTGGAGTTGGTATTGTTAACGCGATTGGTATTGCTGTTGGTGTTGATGTTGTTGTTGCTGTTGTTCTTGGTGGTGTGTATGTGATGTTGTTGTTGTTGTTCCTGTTGTTGTTGTTGCTGTTGTTGTTGCTGTTGTTGTTGATGTTGTGTTTGTTGTTGCTGTTGTTTGTGGTGATGTTGTTGTCGTAGGTATTGATGTTGATGTTGTTGTTGTTGCTGTTGATGTTAGTGTTGTTGTTGTCGATGTTGGTGTTGTGAGTGTTGGTTTTATTGCTGTACGATGTACGTCGTGGTGTTGACGATGTACGTCGTCGGTGCTGTTGTTGTTGATGTTGTTGGTGGCGCTGTTGTCATTGTTGCTACCTGTTCCAGGTGGCCAACTGTCAACTGTCACCCTGATGTTGACGATGGGGATGCTGAATGGGGACGCTGGAGAGGACGCACGCGCGCGAGGGAGATGGGGCCGAGACGGACGAGAACGAGAGAAAAATATAGAAGGAGCCCTTCTAGCTATTTCTCGCGCCCTCGCCCTCCTGGTCCCCCTTCAGAAGGAGTCCTCTCAGAAGGAGGGGGCATATTCAACACCAGTCTTTGCAATCGCCCCCGATCGCAAGAAGCGAAACTCACACGTCGAGAGCAAAGCGGCTGCAGCCGCGACCTGTAAAATGTAAACCGTGGCCACACAGCGGCACGTGCGGTAGATGCCTAGATACTATTGCCATGTTGCCGTGGGCTCTGACCGCCAGAGTCGGACCAGAGTCGATCGCATCGGTCGCATCGGTCGGCAGTCGTCGTCATCGTCGTCTTCGGAGTTGGAGTCGTCGTCGGAGTCGTCGTGGTCGTCGTCGGAGTCGGAGTCGGAGTAGACGTCTTCGATCGAACGTCCGACCGAATCGCCGAATGGCCGAGTCGGAGTAGACAGGCACAGGGCAAGCGGAAAGTGGCGGCAATTGCGGCAACGGCGGCGCCTCTGAGAACCTCTCAAGCCGAACCCATGTCGGTCATGTCGGAGTTGGAATCGTCGCTCTCGAAGGAGTCGGAGTCCGAGATGTCCGAGGCCGAATCCTTGTCGACGTCGAACTTTGGGTCCTCGCTCGGAGGGGGGGGGAGGGCTGATCCTCGTCGTCCTCGCCCTCCCCTGGAGTCTCCTCACCCTCGTCCTCCTCGTCTCCTGGAGTCCTTGTTCTCGCACCCCCGCCCTCGCCCTCCGTCGTCGCGGCGATGGCGGAGGGCGGGGGCGAGGGCGAGGATGAGGAACATAAAGATCAGTCGTTGGGTCGACTGATCATTATTTTTCTCGTTGACCCCCTCTCCGACACCCTTGTTTAGGACACGCGTCCTGGAATGATGCTGCAGCTGCTGCAGACTCGGGCTCGGGCGGCTCGATGGAGACGGGCGGGCTGCCGCGGCTGCCGCGGCCCGGCTTGCCCGAGCTCGGACGGGGAAGCCACCGCACATCTGGGAACTCGGGCTTCGGCTCGGACAACTGCGGCTTCGGCGGCTCGCACAGCACCCCGCCGGGCATGTTGGGCGCGACGATCTTCTTGACCCTGAACGTCGACTTCTTGTCGACGGGGATGTACTCCATCTGCTTCTCGATGAGCTTGAGGAGCTTGTCGTTCTGCTTGTCGAGGCGAGCAGCCGATGCCTTCCAGCAATCGCGCTCCATACGGCAACGGGCCATGGCTTGGCGATGCTTCTCCTTCAGCTCGTCGCGGCCCATTGCGCACTTCGGCATAATGGGCTGCCTGGAATCTGGAATCTGCCGAATCCCTCGGACACACACGGCTGTGGACCGACGACGGTATTTCAAGGGTACGTCTGGCGCTAGGTAGAAAGACGACCGCCGACGCCATCGGGCCACGAGACGAGTGAGATCGTCGGCTCCCCGCTGAACCCGAATGCGCCGTCCTATGGCTGCACGGCGACATATCAAAACTTGTTCTAACACCGAGAGAGCAAACCGCAGTCGACGTATTTTGGCATGTGATTTTTTTCTTAAGAATATAAAGAAAATATGAAACAAACAAATCATACGATAACGCAATTGTAAGCATTCCCCTTAAAGAGCAAGGAACATACACATAAGCAACAAAAAGCGCCCAGACACTTAGAGGAACACATACTAAACATAATTCTGAACTCTTGAAGCTGTTCAAAGTTAGCGGCTCAACTCAACTATCTGCTCTAGGCGCAAGCAGCATGGAGCGAAGCTCTTGGGGCAACCTCACAACGTACTTTTGCCTCGCGCCAGCAAGGCTTACGTTGATTCACAGAGCACCGAGGCCACACCGGGAGCCCGGAGAAACCAACAAGAAAACTGGAGGAGGACCCTCACACTACCCCGCCCCTACCCGCTTGCCGGGCCGAACCTGCACCCACCTTCTTGAACCACATTCTTCAGCCCACATTCTTAAACCACATTTCCGGCAGCCACTGCTCGCTTCTCTCGTACGCTCTGATTGCAGCACTGTGGCTCACCACCCGCGTCTCCCTGAACAGCGCCAGAGATCGCCTTCTGATCGTCCGACAGCCTCCGTGCTGACACTGCCGGATCCACTGCCGTCTCTCCCCTCCGAACCTCCACTGCCGTCCCTCCCCGCGCCGCCGCCGCCGCCCCCCCTGCCCTCGCCGCCACTGCAGTCTCTCCCCCCCGAGCCTCCACTGCCGTTCCTCCCCATTCCTCCCACCGCTCCACTGCCGCCCCCCCCCCCTGCCCTCGCCGCCAAGGCCGTCTCTCCCCCCCGAGCATCCACTGCCTTTCCTCCCCATTCCCCCCACCACTCTGCCACCGCCGTCTCTCCACGCTCCCACCGCTTGCCCTTCTCGCACGGACGCGCCGCCCCACGCTGCCACGGTCCGCCCTTCTCCCACACGCTGGTCGTCGAACTGCAACTGATGATAGCGGGCTCCAGCTTCGATCCCTGCGTCTCGCTGAGCAGCGCCAGGGCCAGCTGCCACTGCTGCTCCAACGCCACCACCGCCGCCGCAACCCCCGCCCCCTCGCGCCCTGCCACCGCCCACGCTTCCACTGCCGCCCCCCGCTCCTCCAACTCCTCCCACGTCCTCCGCTCCACCACCCATGGCGCTGCCAGCCCCCCCCCCCCCCCCTCGCCTCGACGGCCCGCCCTTCTCGCATGAGCCGATCGGGACACTGTATGGTAGGGCGACTGCGGACCCCAGCTTCACTCCCGACATCTCGCAGAGCGGCGCCAGGGCCAGCCGCCGAAGCACTTGCCCAACTTTCTCTCACACGCTGATCGGTGCGCTGTAGGGGATGATCGTAGGCTTCAGCTGCACTCCCAGTATCTCGCTGACCAGCGCCAGGGCCGTCTGCCACTGCTGCCGCTCCAGCGCCACCGCAGCCGCCGCCACTGCCGGCCCCGTCCGTTCTGCCTTCTCGCACGAACTGATTGGGACACTGTAGCAGATGATCGCGGGCTCCAGCTCCATTCCCAGCGTCTCGCTGAGCCGTGCCAGAGCCAGCTGCCACTGCACTTGCTCGGCCTCCTCGCGACCGCTGATCGGGGGCTGCAGCGAATGATGATGGTGGGCTCCAGCTCCCCTCTGGTGCTGCTGGAGTTCGTCGTTGCCGAGGTCGTCATCTTCGTTGACAATGGCAACATTCGAAGCCTCCTACAACTCCAGTTCGCGCCGGCCGAGCAGCGCAAAATCAATCCGGATGCCCGGGGCGAGTGCTGATGGAGTCGGTCGTGGAGCAGCTGGAGTTGGCGTATATGCAGCTGGAGATGCACTGGTGCTGCTGGAGTGGATCGCTGGTTGGTCACGGTGTTGTTGGAATAGGTGGGGGTGCTGTTGGTGTCGGTCAGGTGCTGCTGGAGTCGGTCGCTGCGCAGCTGGGGTTGGTGGCGATGCTGCTGGAGTCGCACGGGCGCTGCAAGAGTCAGTCGCCTGTTGGTCGTGGTGCTGCTGGAATTGGCGGCGGTGCTGCTCAGGCACTGCTGGAGTCGGCCGTGGTGTGGGTGGGGTTGGGGTCGACTCTGCTGGAATCGCTCTAGTGCTGCTGGAGTCGGTCGCACGTTGGTCGTGGTGCTGCTGGATTTGGCTGTGGTGCTGCTGGTGTCGGTCAGGTCCTGCTGGAGTCGGTCGTGGTGCAGCTGGGGTTGGCGTCGATGCCGCTGGAGTCGCATTGGTGTAGCTGGAATCGATCGCTGGTTGTTCGCCGTGATGCTGGAGTTGGTGGTGCTGCTGTTGGTGTCTGTCTGGCGCTGCTGGGGCCAGTCGTGGTGTGGCTGGGTTAGGCGTTGCTGCTGCTGGAGTCGCTCCGGTGCTGCTGGAATGGGTCGTTGGTTGGTCGTAGTAACGCTGGACTTGGCAATGGTGCTGGCGTCGGTCGGTTGCTGCTGGCGTTGGTCGTGGCGCAGCTGGAATTGGCGTAGGTGCTGCTGGAATCGCCCAGGTGCTGCTAGAGTCGGTCGCTGGTTGGTCGTGGTGCTGCTGGAGTTGGTGGAGGTGCTGCTGGTGTCGGTCAGGTTATGCTGGACTCGGTCGTGGTGCCACAGGGCTTGGTCGGCATTGCTGCTGGTCGGCGGTCCTGCTGGTCGGTGCTGCTGGTCGGTGCTGCTGGTCGGTGGTCGGTGCTGCTGCTGGTCGGTGCTCCTGCTCCAGCCGGCCGGTGGTCGGTGCTGTTGCTGGTCGGCGCTGCTGGTCAGCACTGCTGCTGGTCGGCGCTCCGCCTACTCGGTGCTGCTGGTCGGTGGTTGGCCCTGCTACTGCTGGTGGGTGCTCCTGCTGCAGCCGGCCGGTGGTCGGTGCCGCTGCTGGTCGGCGCTGCTGGTCGGTGCTGCTGCCGGTTGGTGTTCCTGCTGGTCGGCGCTGCTGGCTGGTGGTCGGTGCTGCTGCTGGCCGGTGCTCCTGCTGCAGCCGGACGGTGGTCGGTGCTGCTGCTGGTTGGCGCTGCTGGTCGGCACTGCTGCTGGTCGGTGTTCCTGCTGGTCGGTGCTGTTGGTCGGTCGGTGCTGCTGCTGGTCGGTGCTCCTGCTGCAGTCGGCCGGTGGTCGGTGCTACTGCTGGTCGGCTCTGCTGGTCAGTGCTGCTGCTGGTCGGTGTTCCTGCTGGTCGGTGCTGCTAGTCGGTGGTTGGTGCTGCTGCTGGTCGGCGCTCCTGCTGCAGCCGGTCAGTGGTCGGTGCCTCTGCTGGTCCGCGCTGCTGGTCGGTGCTGCTCCTGGTCGGCGCCCCTGCATGTCGGTGCTGCTAGTCGGTGGTTGGTGCTGCTGCTGGTCGGCGCTCCTGCTCCAGCCCGTCAGTGGTCGGTGCCTCTGCTGGTCGGCGTTGCTGGTCGGTGCTGCTGCCGGTCGGCGCCCCTGCTGGACTGTGGTGCTGGTCGGCGGTCGGTGCTGCTGCTGGTCGGTGCTCCTGCTGTAGCTGGCCAGTGGTCGGTGCTGCTGGCCGGCGCTGCTGGTCGGTGCTGTTGCTGGTTGGTGTTCCTGCTGGTCGGTGCTGCTGGCCGGTGGTCGGTGCTGCTGCTGGCCGGTGCTCCTGCTGCAGCCGGACGGTGGTCGGTGCTGCTGCTGGTCGGCGCTGCTGGTCGCTGCTGCTGCTGGTCGGCGCCCCTGCTGGTCGGTTTTGCTGGTCAATGGTCGGTGCCGCTGCTGGACGGCGTTCCTGCTGCAGCCGGCCGGTGGTGGGTGTTGCTTCTGGTCGGCGCCACTGGTCGGTGCTTCTGCCGGTCGGCGCCCCTGCTGGTCGGTGCTGCTGCTCGGTGGTCGGTACTGCTGCTGCTGGCTGGTGGTCGGTGCCGCTGCAGCTTGTCGGCGCTGCTGGTCGGTGCCGCTGCTGGTCGGCGCCCCTGCTGGTCGGTGCTGCTGGTCGGTGGTCGGTGCTGCTGGTCGGCGCTGCTGGTCAGTGCTGCTGCTGGTCGGCGCGGCTGCTGGTCGGTGCTGCCGCTCGGTGGTCGGCGCTGCTGCTGGTCGGTGCTCCTGCTGCAGTTGGTCGGTGGCCGGTGCTGCTGCTGGTCGGCGCTGCTGGTCGGTGCTGCTGCTGGTCGGCGCCCCTGCTGGTCGGTTTTGCTGGTCAATGGTCGGTGCTGCTGCTGGTCGGCGTTCCTGCTGCAGCCGGCCGGTGGTCGGTGCCGCTGCTGGTCGGCGCCACTGGTCGGCGCTGCTGCCGGTCGGCGCCCCTGCTCATCGGGGCTGCTGCTCGGTGGTCGGTACTGCTGCTGATAGTGCATGCTGCAGCTGGCTGGTGGTCGGTACCGCTGCTGCTAGTCGGCGCTGCTGGTCGGTGCTGCTGCTGGTCGGCGCCCCTGCTGGTCGGTGCTGCTGCTCGGTGCTCGGTGCTGCTGCTGGTCGGTGATCCTTCTGCATCTCTCGCTGAGCAACGACTGGGCTGGCTGCAACTGATCGCGGTTCTCGCACGCGCTGGGGCGCTGCCTCTGCGCGCCGTCGCGCTCGCTGGGCTCCAGTAAGGGTCGAGGGAAGCCGGAAGGCCCTGGCCCTGATGGCCCAGCAGCGCAGCCGCCCCCCGGCAAAGGCTTAGGAGACTTGACTCAGCAACGCCTTCCACATCTCGCAGAGTGGTGACGGGGGCCGCTGCTACGCTTCGCCCTGGGCCAGCTGGTGGGTCAGCCTGCGGGTTGGTGGTGCTGCTGGTCGGTGGGTCTACTAGTCGGTCGGTGGTGCCTTTGCTGTTCTGTGGGTATGCTGAGTGGCGGTGCTGTTCATGGTCGGCGGTGCTGCGCGCTTCAGCCTCTACACGAGCATCTCAGCAGCGTCGCAGCCTGCTGCCACTGCCGAGGCCACCTCTTCTCGCAGGCGCTGCTCACAGTGCCGTAGGTGATGATGGTGGGCTCCAGCTTCACTCCCAACTTCTCGATGAGCCGAGCCAGAGCTGTCTGCCACTGCCCCTTCTCGCAGGCGCTGATCACAGTGCTGTAGCGGCTGCTGCCGGGCTCCAGCCTCACGAAAGCCGTTTCGCTCAGCAGCGCCACAACCTGCTGCCACTGCCAGGGCCTGCACTTCTCGCACGTGCTGTTCACGATGCCGTAGGTGATGATGTTGGGCTCCAGCTTCACGACCACGATTTCGCTCTGCAGCGCCACTGCTGGCTGCCACTGCCAACGCCTGCTCTTCTCGCACGCGCTGTTCACAGTGCCGTAGGTGCTGATGACGTCGGGCTCCAGATTCACCACCCACATCTCGCTGAGCATCGATAGGGCCGGCTGCCCCGCGTTGTGGCTCGTGATGTCGGGCCCCGGCTTCACCACCCACCTCTCGCTGAGCGACGATAGGGCCCGCTGCCACTGCTCGCCCTTCTCGCGCGCACTGATCGGAGTGCCAGAGCTCTTGACGGCGGGGCCCAGCTTCACCACCCACATCTCGCTGAGCAGCGATAGGGCTGGCTGCCACTGCCAGCACTTCTCGCACGCGCTGTCCTGGCCGCTGTAGATCATGATGACGTCGGGCTCGAGCCTCACCACCCACACCTCGCTGAGAAGCGATGAGGCTGGCTGCCACCGCTCGCACTTCTCGCCCGCGCTCGTCGTGGCGCTGTAGCTCGTGATGTCGGGCTCCAGCTTCATCACCCCCGTCTCGCTGTGCAGCGAAAGGGCTGGATGCCACTGCCCGCACTTCTCGCGCGCGCTGCCAGGGGCGCGTTGGCTCATGATGGCGGGCTCCGGCTTCAGCTACCGCATCTCGCTGAGCAGCAATGGGGCCTGCTGCCACTGCTCGCGCTTCCCGCGCGCGCTGATCGGGATCCTGTAGCACGCGGTGTCGGGCTCCAGCTTCACCGCCCACATCTCGCCGCGCAGCGGTAGGGTCCGCGACCACTGCTCGCACTTCTCGCGCGCTCTCACCGGGGCGCTGTAGATCATGACGTCGGGCTCCGGATTCACTACCCACACCTCTCTGTGCAGCGGCAGGGCCGGCTGCTCCGTGTTGCGGCTCATGATGTCGGGCTCCAGCTTCACCACCCGCCTCGTGCTGAGCGGCGATAGGGCCCGCTGCCACTGCTCGCCCTTCTTGCGCGCTCGCGCTGCTGGAGTGGGTCGCTGGTAGGTCGCGATGTTGCAGGAGTCACACTAGTGCTGCTGGTCGCGGTGCAGCTGATGATGACGTTGATGTTGCTGGAGTCAAACTGGTGCTGCTGGAGAAGGTCGTTGGTTGGTCGTTGTGCTGCTGGAGTTGGTGGTGGTGCTGTTGGCGTCGGTCAGCTGCTGCTGGAGACGGTCGTGGTACAGTTGGCGGTGGCGTTGATGCCGCCGGAGTCACACAGTGCTGCTGGAGTGGGTCGCTGGTTGGTCGTAGTGCTGCTGGAGTTGATGGTGGTGATGTGTCGGTCAGGTACTGCTGGAGTCGGTCGTGCTGCACTGGTGCTGCTGGAGAGGGTCGCTGGCTGGTCGCGGTGCTGCTGGAGATGGTGGAGGTGCTGCTGGTGTCGGTCAGGGACTGCTGGAGTCGGTCGTGGTGCACCTGGTGATGGCGTCGCTGCTGCTGGAGTCACACTGGCGCTGCTGGAGTGGGTCGCTGGTTGGTCGCGGTGTTGCTGGAATTGGTGGTGGCGCTGCTGGTGTCGGTCTGGCACTGCAGGAGTCGATCGCGGAGCAGCTGGTGATGACGTTGATGTTGCTGGAGTCGCACTGGTGCTGCTGGAGTGGGTCGTTGGTTGGTCGCGGCGCTGCGCTGCACTGGTGCGGCTGGAGTGGGTCGCTGGTTGGTCGTGGTGCTGCTGGAGTTGGTGGTGGTGCAGCTGGTGTCGGTCAGCGGCTGCTGGGGTCGGTCGTGGTGCAGCTGGTGATGGCGTTGATGCTGCTGGAGTCGCACTGGTGCTGCAGGAGTGGGTCGCTGGTTGGCGGTGGTGCTGCTGAACTTGGTGGTAGTGCTGCTGGTGTCGATCCGGCGCTGCAAGAGCCCGTCGCGGTGCAGCTGGGGTTTTCGCGGATGCTGCTGGAGCCGCAACGGTTGGTCGTGGTGCTGCTGGAATGGGTGGTGGTGGTGCTGCTGGTGTCGGTCAGGCGCAGCAGGAGTCGGTTGCGGCGCAGCCGCGGTTGGTGTTTATGCCGAAGGACTCGCGCTGCAACTGCTTGGGTGGGTCGCTGGTTGGTCGTGGTGCTGCTGGAGTTGGTGGTGGCGCAGTTGGTGTCGGTCAGCGGCTGCTGGGGTCGGTCGTGGTGCAGCTGGGGTTGGTGTTGAAGCTGCTGGAGTCAC